CAGACTTGTTTAAAAATGGATTTATGAAAAACCAGCAAACTTGGTGGAAGAAAAGGAGGCTCTGAGTTATTATTATTATTATTATTTGGATGGAACACCTTGAACACGTGGATACATTAGTGATTGAGTGCCGTAATACTTTTAAGGTCTTTTAACACCTCACTTCTAACACCTCCTTAAATTAAGTTCCCTGACATCTCAGAGGACCCACCAGCTGGATCTCATCACTCAGCAATTTCTTTCAGAAATGAAATCGAAAAAGCAATTGTGACCCTCCAACTCTTTTGGGGCAAAAAATTATCCTCAGACTTCCAAAAGAGATCAGATAGATGAGAAAGTGCCTGCAGTTCTGGCCAAGCAGTAATGAGACCTTCACAGAAATGCCTTTTATCTTCCAAAGGCAGGAATCAAAGGAGAAGAGCATTTGACAGGGGCTCTTTCAGTCCTGGAATTAAAATATAAAGTGGCAGGTTCCAAAAGGCCCTATAAATACATTGGAAGTGAGAAGTAATTGGGTCTTCTGTGAACCAGGAAAGAAGAACAGGTTTTAAAAAACCCTGCACCAAAAATACCCTGAATGACAGGCAGGCTCCTGGCTGGGAAGCCCCAGATAAAAATTGTGCATTTTAGAGTTAAGAACAAGCAGGATATAATTCCTGACTAACTCAGAAGAGAAAAGCAGGCCCTTTGGGCTAAGGATTACATGCCTCAGATAAATTTAACATGAAAAAAAAAAAAAGATGAGTACTTTAAAACCTATCTCGGCCTCTGCCAGAAATAAAAGGCACAAATTCCTGGGCTTACACCTCACAAAGTGAAGAGAAATATAAAACCAAACAAAACCTGCAGTTTTGCAGCTGAATTTCAACCAGGTTCTGAAGGGAATCTGAGCTCTTACAGTGGTATTAATTTAATGTGATAATGTAAGAAGGAAATAGTCCATCTGCTTGTAAAAGAACCAGGATAACTGTAATAGGTGGAATGATTGGATCCATTAGATGGGCTTATTTCCCTAACAGGATCCTGGAGTGAATCCATGAGTGCACTGCTGTGATGTGCACTACTGGAACTCACACCCAGAGCAAGCAATGATTAGAACAAGCAAGAAAACTGCAGATAAATGTAAGACAGGTCCTTGACAAACAAATAAAACCAGAGAACCTTCCAGAATATGGATTCAGAGAACAGAACTGCCCTGGAAGAAGGGCTCAATTAGGGGTAAAGAAGCCTCAAACACTCTGAGAAGCAGCAGTGAGAAGGTGTTTCTACCTGGGTTAATGCACCTGCCTGCCCTGGCCACTGAGCTTTTGGCCACAGTCATCCTGCTGGATCTTCAGGTAGAAGGAATAACAGCACAGCACTCTGACACCCTAAAACAAACACATCCCTCATAAATATAACTCTGGATACAAACATGAGTCAGAGAACTTGTATGTCTGCATCTCTCTAAATTAATTTACACTGGAAAAACCAAGGTGATCTGTAACTCTGCTCAGCTGTCTGGCAGCTTTGGGGAATATCCATTTATGTCAGAAGGAAATACAGCCTAATCAAAACACTATTGCAGGCATAATGTGTCCTCAAGGCATTACTGTAAACCATCCTGAGTGCCCTTGAGTCACAGGAGAATTTTTGTTAAGACAGGAGATTAAATATGTGCTCGCACACACATGGACTGAGCACTGTGAAACCCCAGGAGTGAAGCTCTGAAAGGACACCCAGACCCCCAGATTTAACCACAGGGCATCACACAGTCTGATGCTGCAGTGGAAATCCAGTTATTTTAATTGGCATCACTGCATGCAACGATATGTTCAGATGTATGTAACTGTATTCTTCTTATAAAAATATTTTGTGTGTTCCTGAACCACAACACCATCGAGCACCAAAGGGGGAAAACCCACCCTGGCTGAGTCCAAATAAATGTTAACCACAGTTCTTAGAGAATCTGCTCAGCAGTTTCTGAAGGAGGAATAATAAGAAGGCATTTTACTGCTACCACTACCAGGGATCTTTTAATCAGGGAGAACGATCAAAACCACATCAGAGCCTCTCAGAATTGTTAGCTTGACTCCACTGCCCCTGTTTGGGAAGTGCTACTGCAAATGAAAGACACAGCAAAGCACAGGAATTTCAAAGGCCACTGTGCTCCCTTGGATTGCCCAAGAAAAGAACACAATACCTTTAACCTGCTTCAAAGGTTTATTCCCACAGTGGAATGCAAAATGAAGGGAGTGCAGGAAACGAAGACACACACACAGACAGAGACACCCTGGTGGGCTGTCACCCACCCACAGAACCTCAACTCAGCACATGGCAGGTGAATCTTCCTTTTCAGGCACACCTGAAACCTCCAACAGATCGATTTTTCCCAACACAGAACTCAGGACTTGGGAGTTTATTCCCAGTTCTCAGAGATGGGTTTAGCTCTGAGGCCACCGGGACAAACCAGAGCACCAAAACCATCAGAGAGGCTTCACTTCCAGCTTCCAGTGAACATTCTACATCATTGTAATGATAAACAAATTTAAAATGTCAATAAATACCTTATCTTTTTAAAGCACCTGAACGGGGGAAAGTCCCAAACCCCCTCAGTGTCCCCACAGAAAGTGCCCAGACAAAATCCTACCAGTGAAGGCAACACCGGTGGGTGGAGGGACCTGAAGGTCTGCACTGACCACGTGAAAATTAAGGAGTAAAAGAGAAAGAACACCCAGGTTTTAGACAGGTGCATTCACTGTGAGGGTGCCAGGCCCTGGCACAGGGTGCCCAGAGAAGCTGTGGCTGCCCCTGGATCCCTGCAAGTGTCCAAGGCCAGGTTGGATAAATATGGAGCAACCTGGGCTGGTGGAAGGTGTCCCTGCCCATGGCAGGGGTGGGACTGGATCATCTTTAAGCTCCCTTCCAACTCAAACCATTCTAGAATTTATTCCAGGAGGTGGGAGATTCCTCAAGGTCCTGTCAGTGACAGGGTGACAAATGCCTTTTGTATCCTATTAGCTAAGTTCTCTCCTTTTTATCTGCTTTTGAAGTATCAAATTTGTAGTTTGCCAGAGCTGCAAGGCAAATAAGTAAGGCAAATTTTAGGCTTATAATGCTGAATGCAACACAGAAATGTATGTGGAGGATTTACGGATTTTTTTTCCTTACTGTGTTGCAAAGATACACAGAATTCAATATATTTATTTTTAAAAAATCGAGGCAGTAATGAATTCATCTAATGTCCCGTTATAGTTTGATGGCTTATCTGAAAAATTGTTTTCCAGTGGAGGGGTGTTTTCCATTTAGTCACTGTTAATACAACAAACCTGATCATCTCCTTTTCCTATTCCCCCTCCTGCCCTGAAGACTGTCAAACGGAATTCTCAATAAAGCAACTTATTTCAAAGGCAGAATTGTAATAAATTAAACATACAGCACAGTCATTAGGCATTAGAAGAAACCTCATCTATTAAATTCTGTCATGTTATTTTTCAATATATGAATAAGAAAAAAACCCATCTCCTCTGCTCAGAACTGACATTTTCCATTCTCAAAACAACAAACATGTATTTGCAGAGCTGTGCATGTTCAAGATCCTCAATATTGCTAAGGGGGACAAGGCAAAAGGAAAAATAGGGCCTGGTAACAGACCATGTGACAGAAGAGAGGGCTTCATCCAGAAACCACAGCTTTATTTGTGTGTATTTGTTTTCCAAAGGTATCAGAGGCCTTGTCCTTTCCTGGGCTTTAAACTGCCCATGTGACACAAATCCCAAGAGGATGGAGCCATCTGCTCATGGGGTTTCCCAAAACCTGCCTTTCCATGCAGGTCCCTCCTCAGATGACCCACTCCTGCAGCTGAACACTGAGGAGTTCCTAGGGAAGGAAAATCTCCTTTCCAAAGCCATGGATGACAATCACCACCTCGAGCCCGAATTCCTACAGAAGTCCTGGCAAAACAGCCTTTTTCCTGCTTTGAGACCCACACCAAGCACAAAACCAGGATGAACTGCTTGAACTCCTCATGAAAATGTCTTCAGGATCCAACCAAGACACCCAGGACTCTCACCACACATTAAAAATGAGGGGGCAAATTCTGGCAGTGTGAGAAACACAGAATAAATCACTTCACCCAAAGGAAAACAGTCCATTTTTCCATTGAATTTATCACCACTGCATCTCCACATCCTCACTCATGGTTTCCCAAGGAACATCCATATGCACTATTTACACAGATGCACGAGCACAAATAAACACTGTCTCCCAAAATATTTAAAATGTGCTGCCAGATGGTTTTAAAAAAAAAAAAATCGAAATGAAAGATCTAATTAAAAGCTCTTACCCTGCCAACACTCCATTTTTGGAAATAACTACAAAAGTTAAATAAAAAAAAAAAAACAACAATGTTTTTCGAGCCTATCAATATTTTTGTCATGTTTTGCTTCACAATTACAATCTCCCCTGATCTCCATCAAGCCACATCAACCAGTGCTAATTGTAAACTCCTTTCTTGGGCTGGTGGAAAAAGGAGACTGGCAGAAATTATGACCAAATTTGGGCAATTACTCTTTTGATTCCACCTCTTCCCAGTCCTCTCTCTCCCTCCTGTTTAAAAGTTTAAAAAAACAAACAAAAAAAAAAGAAATTGCTGCTGCCATCACCAGTTTTGCCTGTAACAAAGCAGATTTCACTGCCACAGTTATCACAGGCATTTTGAGAGGGGGAAAAAAGTTATTTTCTTATTTTCCACAACCGAAACACGAACCTTGACGTTTGTTTACTCCTTGTTTTTCCCTGCATCTCATCTCCCCAGCAAAAGCAGATGATGGTTTACATACACTTTAAATAAATATACATGTATTTTCAAATATTAAAATCACAGCATTAAAATGAAGTGTAATGATGTTTTGAGATCATCAGGTGAGCCCATCAACAAGAAGAAAAGCCCAGAACACACATGGAAGGGGTGGTGGCAGAGCTGTCACTGTCCCACACTCGAGGAGGTGACTGTTACTTACCACTGGACCTGTTTTTGCGGTTTGACTTCCCTCCTGTGAGAAGCATCTTGAGACTGTTTCGAAACATGGTGATCCCGTTCCACTCGGTGTATCCCAAACACTGCAGAAAGCAGAACAACAGGTGGACAAAAATCAAAACCAGCTCCAATCTGGACAACAGGAAACAGTTATGGAGCGGTAAAAAAATTGCTAAACCTGAGAGAAAAACTTAAAATGATGAAAAATTACTTTGTCAATACAGTCTTTAACAACAAAAATCAACATCCACATAAAGCCCACCATTCAGTTCAAAAGCTTGTTTTCAGTTCATAGAATCATAGAATCACAGAATCAGCTGGGTTGGAAGGGACCTCTGAGATCATCAAGTCCAACCCTTGATCCAACCCTGCTGTGGTTCCCAGCCCATGGCACTGATGCCACATCCAGTCTGTCCTTAAACACCTCCAGGGATGGAGAATCCACCCCTTCCCTGGGCAGCCCATTCCAATGGCTGAGCACCCTCTCTGCAAAGAAATTCTTTGTAATCTCCAACCTAAACCTCCCCTGGCACAGCTGCAGACCCAGCCCTCTTGTCTTGCTGATGGTTGCCTGGGAAAAGAGACCAATCCCCCCCGGCTCCCCCCTCCTGTCAGGGAGTTGCAGAGAGTGAGGAGGTCTCCCCTGAGCCTCCTCTTCTCCAGGCTGAGCCCCCCCAGCTCCCTCAGCCTCTCCTCACAGCACTTGTGCTCCAGTCCCTTCCCCAGCCTCGTTGCTCTCCACGCTATTTCCAGCACCTGCCTATTTTGTCAAATAGTTTGACTGAATTATCATCACACTGAAGTGGCAAAGACTCAGCATTTTGCAAAATGCCTCCATTTCCCACCTCTGTTAAAGCCAAACCCATCAGAAGGAGTTGCTGCCCTTCCTGTTGCTCAGAAAATCAATCCTGCTGACACCAACCCCGACTCCAGCCGTGGCTGACTGTCAAATTCTTTGTGAGTTGAATAAATTGTCATGAGGAGACAAGTCACTCAAACCCAGAGTAACTGATGCAAAAAATCAAACAGAAACATTATCCCTACATTTTCCTTGCTCTGTATGTCTCAGGTAAAAAAAAAAAAAAAGGTTGTCTGAGTGCTGCTGAAGATAAAAGAATGTCTGGGATCACCAGGCACAGTGACAGCCTGTGCTGGGGAACAGCCACTTATTAAAGCAGGTAAAGCATCAAAACACCTCCAACAAAAGCAGCTCCAAACCAGACCAAAAGGATTGTAAAGAGTCTTTGATCAGGACATACAACAAACCACAATTTTCCTTCTATTGTACACATGAGCTTCCACAGTTACAAGGTAACACATTCATCTTGTAGAAATAAATAATGACATTTTCCCCTGTAACAATATTAGGTTCCTCTTGGAGGATGCTCAGGAAATGCCATCTTGAGTTTCTTCACTTATCTGATATTTTCAAGTCTGTTAATACAATAATACCCAGTTCAAAGAGCTTTCTACGTATATTTAAAACCACTGAAAGCCCTTTTAATATGATTTATTCACAGAGAGACACCAGCATTCCAGGGCAGCAGCCTGGAGCACACACATCCCAAACCCCAGGCAGCACAGAGGGGTGACAGCAACTCCAGCCTGTCCTGACTTCCACAAGTTCCCACTCACTTATCAGATCTCACAAGCAGGTTTTAGGGTCTGTCTGTGTGCCAGAATGGATTCATGCACGGATGAATATCACACAGAAAATGCAGAACCGGAATTTCATTTGCATCTATGAATTACAAGAGCATCACCTGGGCCACCAAAACACAAGGAGCTGGTGTTCAGGCTCGTTCCCAGGGCTCCTAAAGGAAGTTTAGGTCCCCTTTGAAGCATCCCAGGTGGGAGATGGAAAGAAAGGTCTTTTGGATGGGGCTCTGAGCAGCCTGCTCTAGTGGAAGGTGTCCCTGCCCGTGGCAAGGGGTGGGACAAGATGATCTTGAAGGTCCTTTCCAACCCAAACCACTTTGATTCTGTGATTTCAGTTTAGCAGCAGCTTCTGCTGTGGTTTCTCACTGCATCCCACACACAGTGGTGAGGAACTCTGAGTGTGAGCTCTCGCCAGACTCACATCCTGAGTGAGGTTTTCACATCACAGAGCAGCAGGTTCAGCAGGTGACCAGAACCAGCTGCTGGTTTCCATTTTCAGGCACAGCCACGTCCTTTTGTGGCTCTGAGCACACGTGGTCACAGCTCTCCCTCTGTTCACTAACACTGAGCCAGAAAGAACATGGAAGAATAAGCACTCGAAATTAAAAATTCTGTTGCTCCTATTAGTTCATGGAATCAGAAGGATTTAACAGCAAATGGCATTACATTATGAGGAGGAGCTGGATCAGGTTTTCACCCCCCAACAAGCTCCTCAAGGCATCTCCCAGCCCAGGTTAATTCCTGGGCCAGCAGAAGCAAAAGCTGCAGGAATGTGATGGGGATCCCTTCCCATCTCCAGTGCCACGGGATAATTGTCATCAATTCGGGCAACCAAGAGCTCCTACACTTTATTGGTCATTTATCTTCTCATCTGTAGCTTGAATTAACCAAACCTAATGAAGACTTGTGTGAGCACCAGTCTCCAAACAGCATCAGCAGGTGAATAAAAAGGTACAACCCCTACAGTGCCTTTTTAGAACAAACAGCTCAAGAATCTGGTTTATGTCCACACGCTCTGCCCCGTGTTGTTTTATCCTCTAAGAAATCTGAATTTCAGTTAAATACACAATCCACAGCAGTTTCTGGAGCATGAGGAGGCAGCAGCACAAATATGATGAGGGGAAAAAATAAACCCCAAAGGCAAGGGAGGTAGAGGCAGACTGAGCTCTGCAACCTTACACTGAGCCCCAACAAATCTGGGACAGCTCATTAAATCCTCTGCAATGACTAAGGCCTATTGCTTTGTTTTCTTAATTTTAAGACAAGAGTTTGCAGACAGGCTGCAAAAACCACTTCACATTTTGGGTGGCTACACATTATTACAGCCCACAGAAGTCGGTCTGGCTTCTTTTTATAGAAAAAACACGGAATTAAAAATCGCAGCAATTTTTTTTTTTCACCCATATACCACCGGTAGAAAGCCAGATCCCTGTATTTTCCTCTTCTCTGATCACCTCGCTAAAAATAAAATTATTTCTTTATAGAAAACTGATTAGCAAAGCTAAGCTCTTGTTCAAAAGGGTGTTTGATGTGCAGTGAGTCGGACAAACATCGCTGAGCCACCGCTGGCAAGTTTTGTGCACGTTAATAGGAGAAGCTATTAAATGTATATCCTCAGATTAGAACTCTGGGTTTTTTCCACAAGTTTCTAACTACAAAAAGAGGAAGGGAATGTAACAAGTCATATGTGAAAAGCACATTTCTTAAGGATTTTATTTCCCCTTTAAGTTTTCAGTTCCTTTCTCGCCTCTGTAGTGAAAATACCCACAAGGGACAGGCATTGGTGGGAAATAAAGCTACTGTAAACATTTTGGTGTTCCAAACACGTTAAAAGAAACAGATTTCCTTATACATGTTCATAATTGAAATTTTAGCCAGGAGAAGGCCCAACCAGGCTGTGCTTTACAAGGATGCTCCCGAATTTCAGCAGCACAGCAGAGCTTTAACTCAGTGGGTGAAAAGGACAACTTAACAACAAAAAAAAAGCCTTTATTGCCAAGTTGGAGGTGGTTCAACAGTCCTGGCAGCTGCCTCTTCAGATATTAATTTGTGGTTGAAGAGAGAAGTCCAGGGCTGTGCACAGGAACACCTCTGTGCCAGCCCACGGGATCCCATCAGCTCCCTGGTTGGGTCAGGAAGCAGCAAATGAAGGCACAATTTGCTTCCAGGACCTTCATAATATTCAGCAGAAGTTTATGAACATTATGGAGTCAAAAATTCTCAAAACATTATATTGATAGATAAAGTAAAAGTATTAGCAAACTTCTATTAAAACACATTTTTTCAATGAGAGTCTCACTGTTCATTCCTTTATTCATCTCCTTTGTCCACTTCGTAAGATCCTGAGGCATCACATTCCCCAGTGAATTTTCCCTCAATTCCCAAAAAGAATGATGGAAAGACATTTTTTTTAAAAGAATGAGTCCTTATGTGTTTTTCAAAAAAAAAAAACAAACAAAACCAACAACAGAAAAAAAACCCCAAAAACAAACAAACAAAAAAAAAATCACCAAAACAACAACAAAACAAAACCAAAAACAAACAAACAAAAACCACCCCAAAGTCCTTTGAGAGAAAATCCACTCAGTTATGCAAAATAACAGAAAAACTCCTTCCTCATAAAACATTCCCTCTCAAAGGTTCCTGGGAGCACAAGATTCTCTCTCTTCATGAGCAAAGCTGAACCCACCACAGCAGAAATTAATAAGTGTGTATAATAAGTATCTTACATTAAGATGCCAAAAAAGGGAACCTCTCTGAGTATTAGTTTTCAGGATTTAACAACATGTAAAGCCTAAATTAACATTTTTTGTGAACAGAAAATCTAACCTTTCATAAATTAGCAAACCACTTTTAAAGAGCAGTCAAGCTTCGGGAAGGAAGAGGTAACAAGGACTTTTTTTTATACAAGTGACAGATTTCTAAAGCTAATTATAACAAGATGAAAGAAATTGATAAATGAAAGGAAAACACAGGACAGAGTTTGGCTTTCAAGCATTTACTCCACATACAACTCATGCTGTACACAGAAATCTGTAGCTGCTGCCAGACTGAAACTTCCCGTGCTCCTCAAATCAATTATTCAGAGTTTAAGCTGAACTCTCATTTTAAACTGTCGTGAAATTCGAGAGGATGTTTTGAGACAGAGCCCGATGACGGGGAGCAGAGAGCACTGAAAGCCACACTTGGATGCTCAGGGGAGGACTGGGGCTGTCACATGTCACCACTGAGAACCACCAGAAGCTCCTGGATCATCCATGATGATCAAATCCATTAAACTCTGCCTCCCAGAACACCCTGACTCACCCCAGGAGTGGGAATAACTGACTACAACAACACTCAAGTCAAAAGAAACACGTATTTTTGTGAGCTTGGTCCGTGTGCACTTTAAACACACGGGAGCAAAATTCGGAGATGAAATATTTCCAGGAACTTCAGGAATGAAAACAGCATTGTTGGGACCCAGCAAGCATGCCAAGAACTTCGAGGATTACTTGGAAATAGGAAAACAACAAAGGAACTGAAAGGACTAAACCCTACCAATTAGAGGTCTTTAAGCAATTAAGAGTTTATTAAACAAAGTTCTCTAAACTAATAGGCTTTAGAACAACTGTATGTGAACAAAAATGAATTGTTTGATGTTTGTTCCCTCCCAAAAGCCTGAAGACTAATGTTGGTGATGGGGGACTTGATGTTCATCCCCTCGGGCCCTTCCTCAAATACTTGGAGGCATCTTGACTGTCTTTCCTACAGATCCTGCACTGACCCCTGGAACTTGTGCTCTCTCCTGTCCTCCTGAGATGCCCCCACTTTCTTTGCTTCTCCAGCTGTCTTTGATGGAAATACATAAAAATACATCCATAAACCACCAAAACCAGCATCCCCACTGGAAACACATGGCCAGCAGGTCAACACGACAACATCTCACAAGGAAGCAGCTTCAACCTCTGCTTTCATTTCATCAAATAGAGCAGCTGGTAATGCCCCAGTTAAAAAGCAATCCTGAGAGCATTACATGGTAATAATCCCATGTTTGTGGAGTTCCCAACAACAGCCCCGAGGTGAATGTGGCCAAACATATTCCTTGATGAGTCTGTGGTGATGATGTTCACTTCAAGTCTGTGGGGTTCGTGTTCACAGGTAATTTTTATACAGTTAGAGCCCCAGAGGAAGGAGACAAGCACAGTGTTATTATGAAAACCCACAGAGTTGAGTCTGAGGAACAGCTCACTGTGGTGCTGTGCTTGGAAAACAGCACTTCCAGAGGGTTGAAGAGCTTGGTCAGGGAGACTGCAGCAGCCCCTGGAGCTGGGAGGCAGGAGGACAAGACCCTTCATCCCTCAGCTCTGTGCAGGCTTGAGTTCCTCATCCTCTGCTAACAGGGCATTGTTTTTCCTTTTGTCTAGAACAGTCATACTTTGAGTAGGAAGGATGGAGAACAAAAGTACAACTGCTCCAGGAGAGATGCCACTGACAGACAGCTCATGACTCACTCTGAGCTCAGAGGAACTCACCACTCTCAACAACAATCAGCAGATAACCCTGCCAACCACAGAATACCAGCTAATGCACCCTGCAACCTTAATTCTCACTCCAAGTTTGAATTTACTCTTCTGGGAAAAGGCTTTCTCCAGCAATGCTTTTCATTTAAGTGTTGGGATTTACCACCAACTTAAGATCAGAAACTCTACAGAAAGAACACAGTCACTCACGAGGAGAAAGTCAAAAGTCAGAACCAGTTCTCTCTTCAACATGAAAATGTGGTGACCTTGAAATTAAGGAAATTTAATTTTGAACAGGGCTTTGTCATTTTGCATAACCTGGTTTCTAATTCTGGATTAATGATACAGACAATTCCCAAGGGACTCTTCCAGTCTCCATATACAATGTCAATTATAGAGCCTTGGAGAGCAATGATAACCACAGGGAAGTTAGGAATGCCATCACCTCACTTCCAGCAGCTCCTCTGCAGGGCTTTTAGTGCCCTCTGTGCTGCCCAGAACAGCTAAAATCATATTTTAAACATTATTAGTAGCTGCCTCCATCAACAACCACGTGAACAGGGATTTAAGCCTGAAATAAAACGTGGCACAATCCTGCACAAGTTGACTCGAATTAAACTGCCTTGGAAGGAATTTTAAGGCACTTCCTACAGCTGGAATCAACAACCCTCCCTCTGCCAGGACCAACAGTGCTGATTCTGCCCCAAAGCACCACAGGACTGAAGAGATTCTTGCATTTCAACTTTTGGCAAAGACACGGAGCAGCCAAAAACCCATCAGTCAAAACCACACCAGCTCCAAAGTGCACGCTCTGTTCGAGGCTCCCTTCAGTCTGAAGTTACTTCTGAAGACACACTGGTGTGACAGAAAAATGAAAACTAAAAACTAGGCAATGTATAAAGTGTGGGGAAATGCTACAGCACTTCACTGCTCAGGCACTAAAGGAAATGGGAATTATTTGCTTAATTTTTAAGTAATCAAAAATACATCTTAGATACAGACCTAATTAAGGAGCTGCTGTAAGCCTGTTCTGCAAACCTTCCCAAGTCTCAAGAATATTTAATACAGAAGTCAAGTTCAATCCATTGGCAAGCACTGGAGATTTTGTCAGAACACAGAGTATTTTGGATTTTACAGAAAAAAAGCCTTGAAACAATTAAGATACCAAAGTACATTTCTACAGAATGCAGTGTCCCTATTATACACTTTGTTTACAAAAAAGTATCAATATTTTAGTTAGAATGAACTCAATAACATAAAATCCTACCTATAATTTTATTACATCTGTTTTCCTGTCCATCACCTCCAGTAGGGAAAGACAGGGAATGACCAAACACTAATACATGGAAACTCCTACATCTTTTTCTCTAAATACAGAAACAATCAGGATAAAAATCAGTAATACTGATATAGGAAGACAATGCCCCTCCTGCTCCATGTTCCAACTCCAGGTGATCACAGATCAGCAAAGAAACAACTGAAGAGAACTGCAATTGTATTTAAACAATTCAATAACTCCTGCAAAGAGAAGTGGGACTGTAAGAAGGAAAAATTCTCCTACCTTGATATCTTTAGACGAGTTAAACCTCTAGTAAAAAGTGTCCTCCTCCATTCACTGCAAGTCCTGAAAGACATAAAAAAACCACAAGAGAATTTAGCAGCATCTTCTCAGCACCCTCTGTGCCCCACATGCACTGAGCTACAACCATCCCATCCCAGGAATAAACCCACGGATTTCCCAGAGTGTTACTGTGGAAGCACCAGGCAGCCCCTGCTCTTTAGCCTAACAATTAAAGAGTGAATGTTCCTGCTCTTAAATCTGTGAATCAATACTAATTTCAGTCCCTTGCCTCTTCCCTCTCATCGCTTTTCAACCGGGAGGAGAAGAAAAGCAGAGACATTTCCCTCGGACACACATCATATAATGCACTATTTAACAAGGAGTATGTGAATTCCAAATATTTCCCTTCATCCCAGCAAGTTCTCCTGCTAAAACCCTGCAACCTCCCCACTGGGTTTTTTTTTTAAACTCAACCCTTACATAAACACAACTCCCAAGAGGGATCCAGCACTAAATCAAGGGTTCAGTCCTTGGCCCTTTGCTCTGTCATCACATACTCAGAACAAGCTCATCAACAAAAAGCCACGAGAAATGTATCTTGTAACTTATTGAAAAAGACCAGAGCAGCTTTTTTATTCCCAGCCTGTGTTTTATTTGTGCTGACGATATTGTGTTACAGCCTCCACCAATCCATTGTTTCAGAAATCTCATTTGAGAACCAGCAAACAGAAGGAAATACAGGCACGTCTCATTTGTCATCAAACAAACAAACACCAAAAAAATCCCAGTAAAAATTGAGGCCACCTTAAGTTTAAAGCAAAGCAGAATAATTGCTCAGCCACTTCAGGGAGGTTT